ATATGCTAAGCTCAAAAGAACAGATTCTAAGACATAAAACTACCCAGTTCTACTTTTGCACAAGTTAGAAGTGAGTTTTAATTAAGTAACAAAAAATCATGAGAACCAAAATTGTCAGTAGGAAGATATTTCTTCAGATACAAAGGAAATGAAGAGAAAAGAAATCCCATACTTGGAAGATATAGAATTCATACAGATGCATTACAAAAGTAAGATGAGTAAAATAAGGGACAGTGAAAAAGTTGAATATGGTAATAATCCAGTCTATGACCATGACCTACATTAGACCATATGCTCATCAGTTCCCACACATACTACTTTCTGTACAGCACAGTTTAGTTCATCTGAGCACACCAACCATGTCCTCCTATTCACTCTCTGTTTACATTAAATAATGCAGAAAAGATCCCATTCTGGAAAACCATATTCCTATAAAGTTATAAACAGTAACGTGCTTTTACTGGCTAGACAATATCATCTGTAGGGTGTTAATTGTATGATATAATATTGAAATAGATTGGGATCATAAAGAATGAACCAAAAATGAAGCAGGACTTGAGAATCAGCTCAGAAGATAATTATTAATTAATGTTCTTTTCCCTAAAGCCAGAGAAGATTTTTGAGTAAAGCTGGACATAGAAAGGGACAACATTTTAGAATATGTACTACTGGAAAACATTTCAAAGGTTTGTTACTTAGAAATCTTCATGGTCTTCCTGAATGAGACCACTCTTACCTCCTCACAGCCTCAACATTCCATCGGCATGGGAGATTGGGAACTTAGAGCGATGCCTCTCTTCTAAGTGGGAGCCAGTACACACCCCTATTATATCATGTCCTTCACTTTTTTTGAATTACACCCTGAGCGGAGGCTGGAAGGCACCATTGTATCTATTTTCTTCTCATTTAACCAGTTGCTATCACAAGATTGAGTAATGAAGGTTCCCTCTTACACAATCTTCTTGTTTCACAAATAATGAACTAAGGTCCAGAATAGTTACTTCATCCAGAATAGTTACTTCACATTCGTCTTGCTAGGGACAAGGGCAGGATTAAAGCCCAGTTCAGTTAATAATTTCACTGCCATGTCAAGTTGCTTCAAGCAAGCAAATAATAAGCTGCATTTTACAAAGAACTCATTAATAGCCATTTTGTGTACTGTCTCAAAATCATCACACTATTATGAAGATTTCTTCCCAGCAGCTATTCACAATTTTATAACATTAAGACATTTACTTTGTAATTAAATCCATAAAAAGCATGTTTTTATGGCTTTAACAGGTCAGTAAAATATACCTAAGTATCACTCTTGGAAAATGCTGAGTCAGACTTTTCTAAGAGTCATACATTTTTACGAAGTGTATTCAAAAGTTTGCTCTGCCACTCTTTCCAACCTTCTTTGCTGTACCGGCAGAAGGTATTCTTTTCATTGTTAGATACTTAAAAAAAGTTCCTTGCTTTATTGTTTTCATGGCATGTGCTCCTATTTTGAAAGTATCTTGTCTGTTTATTACCCTATGCAAGAATGGAAACTCCATAAGGGCAGAAACGTTTTATTTATTTATTTTCGAAATAGTAACTGTTATAAATAAATGAATGCATGGCTGCATGGGAAGAAAGGGGGACATAGCCATCTAACATCCTAATACACTTCTTATGCAACTTATACAAGATTTTGGATTGTCTTCATAGAGTAGAGGGATGAATAGTAGCTAGAGTCTACTGCTCTTTCCCTGGAAAGGAAACCTCAGAAAAGTAGTCACAATTTTGCTGCTGTATTATATGGATATGGAATATCTACTTAACTTCCCCTGAGTTTCAGACTTGAAGCATTGAGTGTCTGAATTAAAGACAAGATTATCACATAGATGTCTGGTTCCCTTGCATTCAGTTTTATTATTCTCTCCTTCCTTCTCTTGGGATCATCACTATAGCCAATTTTGACTTGGTTGCCACCATTGTGCATCTGGTCAGTACTGGTTGCCTAGGTAACACACTGTAATTTCAAATCATTTCAGTAAAAATTGTATTGAAAATGTATAGCTTATGTAATCTTCCAGTTCATCCTGCTCCCAAATTATAAGAAATTTCAAAATCTCATAGAAATTACTCAAGGTTTAGTCCTTTCTAGTCTGGAAGAAAGAGATCTCTTTTTTGAGCAGATGTACAAATCAGCATCTGAGAAGATTTTTTTCTGCAATGCATTGGTCCTTAGAAGCTAAACCAAACCAAACAGCCCTCCTAAGAGAAAGAAGCATGTCCCCAGTAGAATTGGCATTCACTTTGGTTTTACACACTGTTATCTCTAGGGGGATTGTCTTTTGTTAGAATCAAAATTAATTTCTTAGCAATTAAAATGTCTGAAGTCTCTCCTCATTTTTACTTAATCTTTGATGACTTCTCAATGTATCACTGGAACTGAGAAAGAGGAAGACAAAAAGTTATCCAAAATGAGCATAAATTTATGTGAGCTTTTCTTCATAATGAAATGTTTATGTAGCTATGTCTCTGAAGAGATGATCATTTTTCAGACTAGGGACATGTTTTTCTGTTTATTTTTTGTTTTTATCTTGACACTTCCAAAATGTCAACATCAACTATTAATAAAAATAATAAACCTTTTTTTGTTATAAAGATAATTATTAATGTTTTAAGAGAGTTTTCATGGATAATAAGATATTAAAACCCTCCAAAATGTCCGACAATAATTTTCTTTTGTCAAGAAAGAGTATATAATACAGTAGTGCTTCTCAAGGGAACAAATCCTATTTTGTTTAAACTTGTATTTCTAGTTTGGTTCATAGCAGGTGCTCAAGAGATCAGTCCTGCTTGAATGAAAACAACAACAGAAAGCATTTACTTTTAAAACACATTATAAAAATTATCATATGTATTTTGGGTTGGCATCTTTACACTCCTCTAATAAGTGACCTTTTTTAAATTCCTGGAATATTTAATATTATTTACATCACCCATCTCTGGTAGTAGACTTTTTTTTAAACAAAGATCAAATAAAAAATATGAAGATAACATATATACCTATATATACACACATATACATATATTCAATTCCAAGTAGATATTGTATATATTACATCTTTTTGTAAGTAAGGATTAACAGAGAAGTCAGTGGGAAAAGAAGGCAAAAGAGATTTTAAAAACCTATTTTGGGAACATTTTCTAGTTTAAAAAATTGGGTTGATGAAATTCAGGAAGAAATACACTTCTTAAATATTTTTAGAGTTTAAACACCCACACAGAGCACCCTTATACTCTTAAATCTGATAGAATTAAAGTGTACTGTTATATCTGAACTTAAAAGTTAAAGCATCTTCTCATATGTGTAGAAATAGCAATAAAAACAGTGCTGTGAGTAATTTAATTTAATGGCTATTTTACTGTTTTATCTGGACCTGGGTTGAAGATATGTCTATATTAATGTGATCATTAAAGAATATTATATTGTGTCTACTATAGAGTAGGAACATTTTATGATATGCAGAGCTTGTACAAATAACACTGGTAAGTTGCATCTCCATGTGTATTCTTAATTAAACATTGAAATAGACTCTGTTTTTTACTTCTGTCAGTAACAATTAGGACAATTACAGTTTATCTTGTAGCAGAGTGAGTTATAAATTTTTAAATGAATAAAGCTTTTCAAATGCCAACATAACATAGAAAGAAATAAGGAGTGTGTTTGGGATCCGTATCAAAGTATTAAAATGCTTTAAAAAGTATGACAGTTTGCCTTTATTTGCATATTTTTCTTACAGATACTTAAACATTTCTCTGAGATAATTTGTAAACAATATTTAGGAAAAGAATCTTAAAATTTACAAAATGTTGACTCTATAGGTGGTTAAATGCTATTTTTGTATATTTGATCTTAGTCCAATTTTGAAAGAAGGCAAATACCACATTTTAAAAGTATTAATACAATTTTTAATTAATTTGAATACATTTTCCCAGCTTTATTGGGATATAATTAACATATAACACTGTGTAACTTTAATGTGTGCAAAGTGTTGATTTGACACACTTGGATATTTCAATGTGATTATTACCTTAGTGTTAGCTAACACCTCTGTCACATTACATAATTACCATTTATTTTTTCTGATGTGAACATTTATGAATTACTCTATTAGCAACTTTCAAGTATGTAGTACAGTATTGCTATATGTGTTGAACATTTGTATTTCTTCTTTGTAAAAATGTCCATTCAGTTCTTCTGCCTATTCTTAATTGGATTGTTTGTTTTTCTTTTGTTGTTAAGTTATATGAGTTCTTTACATACTTCAGATATTAACTGCTTATCAGACATATGTTTGCAAATATTTTCTCTGATTCCATTGGTTGACTTTTCATTTTGTTGATTATTTCATTTGCTTTTTAGTTTGGTGTACTCCCACTTACTTATTTTTACCTTTATTGCTTGTGCTTTAGGTGTCATTCAAAAAAGCATTGCCAAGACTATGTAAAAGATCTTTTTCTTTATGTTTTCTTCTAGAAGTTTTACAGTTTTACGTTTTATATGTAAGTCTAATCTATTTTGAATCCTTTGTTGTGAGTGGTGTGAGATAGGAGTCTACTTCATTTTTTTTGCATGTGGTTATACAGTTTTTTCAACACCATTTATTGAAGAAATCCTTTCCATATTGTGTATTCTGGTCTCCCTTCTCATATATTAGTTGATTGTATAGCTGGGGTTTATTTCTGGACTCTCCAGTCAGTTCCATTGGTCTTTGTGTATAATTTTATGCCAGTACCACACTGTTTTGATTACTATACCTTTGTAGTGGAGTTTGAAATCAGGAAGTGTGATGCCTGCATATGCTGGTCTTTTCTGCAATACATTCTGAGGCTTTCTCAGACCTTCTAATGATATGCCTGTTCCATACTTGTTCCCTCTTGCGGCAGAATTCTTAAGTTTCTGTGTCTTCTCTGCATCCTAAAATAGGCTGGCAGCTAACAGACTTCCTTTTGTTTTCTTGAAGGTAGCACTGCATCTCAAGTTTGTGGTTTCTCCTAGGCCCACAGACCCTGGCATGGCTTCTGTGCGTGCTCCTTGTCTACCAGAAATCTGGCTGCTGCCCTCTGGGTGCTGTACTTGGGCTGCTTCCCTCTGGCAGCATACCCAGGGAGCCAGCCACAGAGAAGGGGGTGGCGGTGTTTGTCAAGTGGTGAGTTGGGATGTCCTCAGGTCAGTTAGAGGGGGGAATCTGTAGGTGAGGTTTTTTCCACAGCTCACAAACAGGCTTCCTAATGGAGCTCTGGAACCTCATGTTAAATTTATTTCATTAGATTAAAAATTATATAAATTTATTAAATGCAAACAAATATATTTAAACATTAAAAATGAATATGTTTACATTTAAGACACATTAATTTAAAAAATTCATTGTTTATACAACATGCATTGAAGTATGTATGTACATATGTATTCCTGTGTGTATAAATAGGAGCAGAGTGTTATGGAAAAAAATTGTACAAAGTTTGATGATAATTATTTCACTTGATAACATAATTAGAAAATGTTTTGCCTTCCATAGTACTTCTTCTATAGTGTTTCTATGTTAAATGCTATACAGTGTGTTCATAGCTCTTTATAAACAGAAAATACAAATAAATGAAATATAAAAATGTATTTTAAGTATGTTTTGATATTTACTATGTATATTTATTTTTTCTTAAATTTTGACATTAGTATTGTGAATCTACTGGAACATGAAATAACAGAAATCCTAAAGAATAATAGAAATTAATTTTCATGTATTTTTCAATTTTAAATGTATCATTTGAAACCTAATATTAGCAATATATGGGGTTTTTTCTTTAATTATTTTAATGAATTCATACCTTAAAGACTGAAATGTGTTCCTATTTGCAGGGTGTCACACATACAGAAGGATTGTTTTTGTAAGTACTCTGAATTCTCAGCCTTTTATTTAAACTGTTAGTCCACAAATTCTCTGTGTCTGGCCATACTAGAGTAGTTTAAAGAAAAACTGGAAAACATTTTCATTCATGTTCTTAAGTACTAGGTCACCTTGTATTTTGTAAATGAGACAGGATTATTGTACCTTTATCTTGCATGAGGACATACAATTTTCCAATGTTAGAGATTGACTTCTTGCTGTTATAATTTGCTATGTTATTTTCCTTGCATATAATTCTCTTATCTTTAAGTTTTACAAATACTTTCGCCTTTTGTTTGACAAAATCAGTAATAATACTTCTTAAGTATCTAATTTATTTGGGTGCATAGGTTGTATTTCTCCCTAAGGTTGCTATGTGGGCAGCTCTAAGATGCCAAAGAGCAAACTGTGGAAAATGCTGGGCTTCAGTTCTCTTCTTACCCTTCTCTAGCTACCTACCCTTAAATACAGCTCGTCATGTACAATATCCAGATACGGTTCCTGGACTCAGCCTCTTAAATGGTGGGCTGCTATTTCAAACACTATCAGATTATAGTAGAAAATATGGCACTCTTTCCTATGTCCAGGGAATATTTGAATACCTAAAAATGATCTAGTGTGGATCTTTGTGCTACCTCTTTTAGAAGCTAACTAGGTCAGCTTATTGTGACTTTAGTATAGAAGGAAACTCGTGTATTCTCTGTGTGAATCACCTTTTTAATTTCTTTTATCCCCACATGCTGTGGCTGAATAAACTGTTTCTTTTTATTGACTCCCTAATATTACTTTAAAATAATCTACTACTATTTTCTCTAAAACCAGAACAACATAAAAATCTCTCTTGCAGGTCCCACTGGGGCACCAGTTCAAGACTTTGAAAGGAAGAAATGGTTTTATTGTGGTAGAGTTCTTTATATAAAAACCTCTGGCATTTTTCCTTTTCTCACACAGAAGACCTACTTCTCAAGAAAAAGTTTTGTCTTGGCTATCTATATCCATTTTAAAGATTTTATGTTTATGGGACTAATTACTGAAACTGGTATAGAAAAGCACTCTTTGTTTCCTTATATTTTCAATGAAATAGTTCTCAATATTAATCATTAATCAGACCTTTTTATTATGAGAAACATTCATGAATCCATTAAGAGAGGCTTAAGATGTTAAGAGATATCTCCCTTGTCTATGTGATTGGCTTAAAATATGCCAAAGAATATGATAGCATAAGCACAGATTTGCCCTGATAAGCTACAGCATATCTGTAGTTTATTGTAACTGTAATATTCTGAGGCAACAGTGGGATGATAAAAGAAGCACTGGAATCATACAGAATGCTTAATAGCATGACTTTGGGAGTTAAAACAGCATTTGAATTCTTGCTCTGTGCTTTTAGGAAGTTGTTGAACCTCTTATCTATAATGGGAGGCAATAATAAAATTCTCATCTGTAATAAGGTAATAAGAGAAATTCCTCAAAGGGTTTTTGTAAGGATAATGTCTGTACATGGTAAATAACTGCCTAGCATCCAGCTAGCATTGAGTAAATAGTGCCGATACTTTCAAGATGTAGGAAGGGGAGAAGAAGGAGAAATTAAAATTGGGATAAAGAACTAATTAAGGAATTCACGAACAACATCATCTTGGGCAAAGTCCTTGAAATCTCTAAACCTTAATTTTAAACTTATAAAATAAAGATGAAGATGCTATACCTAACTGTAATAGTTTTCTGTTACTGCCTAACAAATTGACAAAAATTAGTGGCTTCATCGTTAAGCCACTTAGCGCTATCTATACATTGTTTTACAGCTTCTTTAGGCCAGAAATCCAGGCACAGCTCAACATAGTCCTCGCCTCAGGATTTCACCAGGCTGCAGTCAAGGTGTTGGCTGGTTGACATTCTCTCATCTGGAGGCTCACTGGGCAAGATTCTGCTTTCAGTCTTACTCAGGTTGTTTGGAAGAATTCATATCCCTGTGGTGGTATGACTGTGGGCTATCGTTTCTTACTGGCTGTCAGGTGGAGGCTACTCTAAGGGCTCAGAGGCTGCCCACAGTCTGTTGCAACCTCTCCATAGAACCCTCTCACAACATTACTTCAGGGTGAGCAGCAGAATCTCTCACTCCAGTCTGCAGAAGGGTCTTATATAAGATAATGTGATCAAGTGTGACATCCCATCATATTTACCTTACAAAGAAACTTAATCCAGGGAGTCACATCTCATCACCTTTGCCATAATCTATTGGGTATTAGCAAATTCTAAAATCCCCTTTTCCTGAAGGGTAAGGGATTTTGCAAGTACTTGAGCCATTGGTTGCTACCTTCAATTGTGCGTGTCACATTATATCATAGTTTGGGAGAATATAAAATAATCAAAATACATATTTTTGTATATAATTGCGATGTCTTTCTAAACTTCAAAGTATTATTCAAATCTAAGAAGGCATTAACTTTTGATAGACTATTCTAAGTGAGATTTATTTTAGTAGTACTGACCCAAAAGCCTAAAAAGACCTTCAATCATCAAAGAATTCTCTGATACATGTATGTATGGATAGATATAGATAGATAGATAGAAAGATGATAGATAGATAGATAGATAGATAGATAGATAGATAGATAGATAGATAGATAGATAGATAGATAGATACTATGATTAATGCAAGCAAAATAAATGCATAAATTTTTTAAAAACCACCAAATACACTAGGGATTAACATTCAGAGCAGGTAAAAAAGATGCTGAATTTAGACAAATTTTGCACTATTGAAGTTTCACATCCTTTAGTTCATTGAATTAATAAATTGTCAGTCATTTTTGAGTGAATTTGAAACTTTGGAAAGCTAGGTTTTACAGGTTTTAAATTGAGTTTTTATTAATACAGAGGAAATAATATTAAAAATTAAGTAATGGAACTTAGGTACATTATATTAACTTTTGAATAACTGTAATTTTAGCATTAGTTCATATATCATTTGATTGTGATGATATAAAATGGAAAAATAAAGATTTCTCTATTTGGCATTGGTGTGATTCTATTCCTTCAATAAATACATTTCTAAATCTCATTAAGAGATTAGTTAAAACTTGGTCTTTCTTTATATAATGCACAAAGTTTATGAAAGAATTTCCAGATGCTTTTTAAACTTTGATGTAGTATAATAATAAATATAAATCTTAGCTGGCACAGATTTTGTTACTTAAGTGCTAGAAATCTTCCACTAAGCTATCAGGATTGAAATACTAACTAGAAACAGTTTCACAAAAATATTTTATAATTCTGAATTCATCAGAACAACCATGTGGGCCTTCACGATCAAAGGAGATCATAAATAAAGAACAGTGTCTCTAGGAGGCAATATGTAGACTGGTCTCTTCTTTATAACAGGCATGTACGTTCTCAACTTATGCAAGATTTAAAAGGTCATATATATGAATTTTTTTAGTGATTCTGTGTGATACAGAAACGTCTGTTTTATTCCTCATCCAATTCAGCAGGAATTGTATTACATTTTTATTTTTTTGTATTTCAGAGTGGGAACAGCAGAAAATTTTAAACTCCTTTAAGAAAGTGATCCTATTATGATACTTAATAAAGTTTATCATGTTATAATAACATTTAACATTTATTATTTGTGCCAGAAATTAAGATAACCATTTTCCATATATTAACTCAATTTTTTCTTTCAACAATTCTCAGGGATGTACATAGATAAGGAAACCATGATGCAGGAATTTGAATAATTTTTCCAAAGTCACACAGTTGTTTAATGGCAAAGTCAGGATTTTAACCCAAGCTTTCTGACTTCAGAGCATTTGTTCTTATCAAATCTGTTTCAGTGCCTTCATGTCTAATATTTTTGCTTCTGATATGAATTCATAATCTACTTATTAAACTTCACATGAGCATGATAGCATTATAGTGGCAGAAGCATGGAGAAAAAGGATTCCTCTCAATTAATTCTAAATAGGTGTGGGTTTATTTTGTTTTGTGGTAAAATTTTAAAAGAAGAAGAGATATTTCAAGATTTTTTAAACCTATTAAAGTGATTAATGGATGAAATATTTTTTAAAATCACTAATGAATAACTGACCAGAAAGAAAACACAATTTTGCACTAATAAACTAGAATTGCAGTAAGATTCAGGAAACTCTATAATAAAGGAGGAAGTTTATTCCTATTTTGTCTTAATCTCAAAAATGTATCTTATTTTTAATCACGAAATCTAGAAAATGTACTTTACTGTGTGTGTGCATGCATGTGTGTGTGCAGCTAGGCATGTGCTTGAATTGGTCAATGTGTTTTCACCATGCAGTTTAGTAACAGTGAAGAGTTAGAAGGTAGGCCAAGAATCCCGTTCTGGTTCTGCTAGCCATTTTTGGATAATGCTACATTAAATAAACTGGTCTAAAAAATAAAACATATGAATACAAAAAAATAAATAATTAAGCAAACAAATAAAAATTTGATTGATTTAGTATCTTAACTTGGATGCATTGTTACACAGCAGAACTAATTTATATACCAGTGTAGTTGGCTAATTATCAGATTCTCACATATTTTGGTCGTAAGCAAAATATCAAGAGATTATGGAAAATATGGAGAGGTTTTTAACCATAGAAATAAGAAAAATCTATGTTAATTATCTTCCCTAAGCACTGTGGTCACTGTTTGATTTTTATTATATTTTTATGACCTTGCCTATTCTGATTTTTTTCCAAAAATAATCCACTGGAGTACAGGAAGAAAATACCAAACATTTACTTATATTGTTATTTTCTCTAAATAAGGAAAAGTAATGTTAATGCACACAATAAAATTAACTGAATTCATTCATCAGGCAATCACATGTCACAGCATGTAAGGCACAAGGGAAGAAGGGAAATTCCAAAAATGCAATCAGCAGTGCTTCACCTCCCTAGGGAAGAAGGGAAATTCCAAAAATGCAATCAGCAGTGCTTCACCTCCCTTTTCATCCAGCATATGGCTGTTTACACTGACCAATTACGGCATGATTGAGTTATCTAGTTTTAACTACACTAGTCATCAGAAAATAACCTTAGAATATTCTCTATAAAGGAACGACAAATCTGAGGTAGCATTAATATACAGGCTCAAGAATTAAACAAGATGGTGGCTAAGCCAATACTACTTCTGTCTGGGCATTTTATCAGCAATTTACATCATGGGCAATTACAGTACATTAGAAAATACATCTTTTGACATGCATTTATATTCTTAGTAATAACCTTTCTCAAAGTGCACACTGAATACTATATATATTGATTTTTTGGTGATTATATGTTTAGCTATAATGGAGAAAACAAGTATTAAAATAAATACACTAAGAATCTAATCTTACAACATTTTTCTCACTAACACCATTAAATCCATTATAAAAATAAATGAGAAAATGTTTTACAGTTATGAAATGATGTTATACTAAATTATTGTTTAATTTAACTTTTAGAATTTTTATTCTTTTCTATGTTTTACAGAGATCATAATGCATTAGTAGAAGAGTACATATGTAATTTATAAAAATATGTAAATAAATGTAACTGTTTGCTAAATTGGATGTGAGATCTTCATTTTCCCTGAGAGATGATTCATATGATCTAAATATTTGGAAACTTTTCTTCTGAATAACCTGTAAGCATTTATCTTTTTTCTATACATGATGCATTAAAAAATAGCCAAATAATACACATCTATACAGTGTAAACTCTAAATTACTTATTAAACCCATGAATCCTTTTAAGAACTTCTATTAGCATATTTTGGATATTGCTCTGTCATTTAATGCTGTTTTGTTTCCCTTTTTCTGTACATTCTAGTTAATTTTAGTTTCTGATGGTATAAATGACTACTGCCAGCATTCCCTCTATTGGCTCTCATAGCATAGCAATTGGTCTATGACTTCAGTAAATTCAACACATATTTTTTTCACCTTTCTTCTCCAGACTTATCTCTTCCTTTCTGTTCTCAAAAAAATCATTATTTTCTCTTGCTTTTCTAATACAATGCTTTTCAGTTTTCTTTCTGCTTCTCTGACTTCTTGCCATCTTTCTAGATCATTCTCTACCTTGACATTAAATTTTGAAATTCCTGTGAGATATGCACTGTACCTTCAGACCATCTCACATGCTCTGCCCTACCTACTCTCCTTAGATTATCTAATTCACACCCAGGAGTTCATTTACCACCAACAAAAATAAGAAATCATATCTCCAGAGTAAATCTCTTTTCTGAATTCACCATCTGTATATCCAGCATCCTTCCTTATATGTCCTTTTTAATGTCTCATAGACTCCCCAAATCCTATTTTCAAAGGTAAACTCATTATCTCCATCCAGGCATCCCTGGTAATTATCCAGAAAACCCTGTGTATAAACTAAGCAATCAACCTGGACACTTCTGCATCTTTATTCCCTTGTGAGTTTTTCCTACTCAGTATATCTAGAAATCTATTCATTGGTTTCTTTCTCTACCTCTATTCTGGTCCATTCTACCATCATCCTTACCTGGTCAAATTCAGTAGTTTCTGATTGGTCTTCTATCAGTCCTCTCCATTCTAAACTTACCATCACAGCTAGAGAGAGATTTTGAAATTATAAATTTAAGTATATCAGTGTCCAGCACTGTCTTCCCACCATTCACAGCTTGGTCCTCTTAGGTGCTGAAAGACTCAGTCCCCACCTGTATCTAAAGACTCCTCCCTCACCAAGCCCCATGTGATCCCATTTACTCCAGCTTCACTGATTTTCAGTTACTTGCACTTTTCACACTCCTTTCCTCAGTGTCTATTATACCTCTGGTTTCATTTGGTCCAAATGTTTCTTGTTCATTAACTTATTCCCATGCTTCTCATATTAAATTGGGATTTACCTCCAGGGAAATTCTTCTTTGGCCTCCATACCTGGATCATTTTTATTCTCATGGGCACACATGGCTCTTCACGGGTTTACCACAGTTGCAATTTTACGTGTGTAGGATCATTGGCTGAGTGCTTGTCTTTGCCCGTGCCTTCAGAGCAGCCCTCTGTGCCTCTCTGTCTTCCTGGTTATTTTCTTAAGATAAGTTTTCAGAGGTGGAGTTGCTGAGCTAAGGGGATGTACTGTATTAGACCTTTGAATAGGTGTGTTACAATTAATTTTCAGAAGAAAATATTAATTTGTATTCCAGCATCAGCATATGAATTATCTTCTTCTCTGCAATGGAAATTTGATATTTTTCTTCACAGTATTAAAAAGATGAAGGTTATGAATGTCAATGGAAAAATTGTTCTGGATAAGTGATATACTTGCCACCACTGGTGCCAAAATGTCATCTCTGTGGGAAGAAGACCCCTTACAATACTGGTTAATAATGCTTTCACAAATATGCCTCCATCAGGAAAAAAAATGAACTTGTTTCCATTGTGTACACTGAAGGGTAACTGATGTAATTCATAATTACAGTGGTTGAGAATTACTAGACTTTGGGTCATACTTTGGTTTAAAATGAATAATACCATTTTAAAAAACATTTTTAAGAAAATACCTATACTTGAACTGATTCCACCAACATATTTAAATTATAAAGTACCTCCCATGCTTGTTTCCATAAACACCAATGTATG